GTTAATTAATTTGATTATATCATTAGTATAGCATACTATTCATTGATTATCATCTAACTGATGCAATTAAATACATTATAACAAAACAAGATAGTGCCTATTTAATTATATTGTGTATGTGGAATGAATTGACAAATATTATTATTTTTTTAGATAAGATAGTAAACCCGACATCATTATAAGACCAAAACTTTACTATAATATTATTCCGTCTCATTTTCATCATCTATTTTCCACCAACCCTTTAGACACATGCATGCCATGATTGACTCTGATTTTAAATTGCAACATCTGTGAGAAATTAAATTCTGGCCACCAGAAAAAATGTATTCAACTGGAACACTGGTAGCTATTGACAAAATTTAAATATAAAAAGCAGATAACATGTAAATAATAATGATAATAATATACATATCAGGAACCACCAGATAATCTTGGACCATTTTGGCTAAGTTTGGCAATTCAACTTCGTGAACCTACACACTCCTACAGTATATTACCGGAAATTTCAAAAATGAATTTGTCGCTTTGGAATCCGATATCTCGATATCCAGTGATCTCATTTGAACAAAAATATTACCATTAGATTCGCCTCGACTATACGAATCTAAAGGTGATATTTTTGTTCAAATGGGATCACTGGATGTCAAGATATCAGGTTCCAAAGTGACAAATTCATTTTTGAAATTTCTGGTAATATACTGTAGGGATGTGTATATGTATATTAATATTGAATTATTAAATCAGATAAGAACATAACAATATTTACTTTCCACCATGTTAAGATGTTGTGAGTTTTGTACGGATCAGCTGGAGACTCTTTAAGATAAGAATCAAGCTCATCTTGCTTGACAATCTTACGCTTTTTAAAGATGTAAGAAACAAGATCATCTTGCGTCTCATCCACGTTAGTTTCAATTGCTTGATCGGTGGGGAGATAAGAAGACTTTCATGAATTGGTTATTTGATTCTTGTATGTTTCCATGTAGTCTTCAAACCCGTGTTTTTCATAGTATGCCATTTTTAATCAAGGATCTAAAACTAATAAAAAAATTAGAATTAAATTTAAGAAATAAAAAATCAACTGCTCTTCTAACCCACCCGTCCGCCCATTAGCAAACTATTTTAGATAAACCCTCTAATATCCGATATCTAAAAAAAGCAATTCACCCTTCCAATCGCTAAATACACTCATCTTAAATGAGTCATACTTGTTCCGATGATATATACGAGTCTATTTGTTGTTGGATAATATTCCTTGAGTTTTTCTTTTACCTGTGTGGCTGCATTTCTTAAATCAGAAGGATTTGAAAAATCCTGAAGAAATTTATCTATAATATCAAGAAGGTAGCTGTAGATTGGAACTGCCATTCTGATAGTAGGATGCTTTTCGGCACTTATAACTTTTGTAGCTTTATCAAAACACTAAAAAATAAAAATTAACAAATAGATTAAAATTCGCATGAACATTACCGAAAACTCACCTTCATCAGAATCTTGATTTGCTCAATTCAGCTCCATTCAGTGCTTGAAAGCATATACCTAGCCAGGTCTCTATCAACCGCTGCTGTATTATCGAGAGGCTAACATATAATTTTGACACCAAAAGGTATATAGAATTCATTTTGTTATTGCTCAGGGTTTAAATTCAAATTAACGATCCTAAAAAATAATCTTTCAGATCTTACCTCACGAAGCTGGAGAGCTCTTTGCATCATGATAAAAGTTGAATTCCAGCAAGTCCTGATATCCGGAATTAATTCAAGCATCTTTACTTCAAAAACATCATACTGGCAAGCAAATCGTTCACGATATTGTAAAGAAGCGTGAATTTTCACAATAAGTTTCCACAACTATGATTTTCAGACTTATTAAAATAAAAATGCTACTAAAAATCTTAAATACATCCTCTCACTTTTCCAATTACTCCTAGAGAAGTGACATTCTGATCATCTACTAGCAGGTCATTTTCATTGTTTGATCCTTCAGCCTTAAGATTTTTCAAAGTATTCTGAGCAATCAAGTTAATAATATGACCAAGACACCAGACTCACTGATTTAATTGATCAAATTCCACTCCATATTCAGCACATTTTTTGGTAAAATAAAAAAATATAGTATCATTGTTTGACGCGTTGTCCGCACTTACTTCAAGCAACTGATATTATAGAATAGTTAAAATAATAAAATGGTGTATTTTAAAAATTAATACGAAGCCAGACCTTTGTTAAGATACCATAATCCTTTAATACTTTATAAAAAGCATCAGCAAGATTATTCTCTGAGTGCAGACCTTGTAGATGCACAAAATCAATGATTGTGCTCTTCATCTTCCAGTTTGCTGTGATCCAATGGGCTATAATTCCAAGAAAAAGAATTTGAGTCATTGAAGTCCACGCATCAAGAGTAAAAGAGATTCTCCTGGATGCTTCCTAAAAGTGAACAAAGCAATGCATCTTAAATTATATGAAATCATACCAAGCAGGAACAGGTAATATACCAGTAATTCTTTTCGAATTTTATTTTGTTCTTCTATATATGTCATAATAACTTGAAAAAAAATTTTGCCTCTGAATTAAGAACTCGGATCAGCTTTCAAAAGAATATTCCTTCAACAACTGTAAAGGGCTGGTTGTCAGCAGTAGAGATGGTGCAGCAAGTATGTGATGCTTATTTGTCACCCGTTGCAACACGTTGTAACTCCAAAATTTTATAAGCCGCAATTAGTTGCAACTGGTGATGCTTTATTTGTCACCACGTTGCAATAGTTGTCGCGCCATCTTTAGTCAGCAGTTATCCATTTAACAAGTGAAGAGAAATATGCTTTGGATGTGTACGGCTATATAAAAGATTCTAAAATTTATTCAATTCTTAAAGAGAAATAAAAATGAAGATAACTTGTCACTTTTTATAATGCAATAGTCAAAAAATGTTTGATATTTCTGTTTAATGTCTCTGAATTCCTTAATGAATTAGGATATTCTTTTTGAAGATGCTTCATCATTGATCCAGTTGACTTGTCTTTAGCAGGTTGATATTCTTTCCTAAAAAAAATAATTTATAATAAATTTGTGTCAAAAATCAAAAATCAAAGTTTATCTACAAAGCTTACACATCATTTTTTGAGTTTCATTATTCAAAATGAAATGTTGATGAACTAGTGATGAATATTTGTGAGCTCCATGAGAGGCTGTAGTGCTTTTATTGAGAGTGACATTTTCAGAAGCTTTGAGATTGTTACTATTGACACTTAGACTTCCTGACATACCAACAAACAACTAAAAAATTTATAGTAATAGTACTTTACATTAACTAAATTGAGTTATATCCTGATACACCTATCCTAGTTTAGTAAAATAATCTACTAAAAACACCAAAAACTTGTTTTTCACGCATAACATAATATCCACTAACACTAACGAGTCAAGAAATGAAATGTAGTGATAGATGATGTTTGAATATCTCACTGTTAAAGATAAATGTATTTTATTATATGAATAAATATATTTTATTTATTCATTAAAATATCGATAGGTAAAAATAAAGAGACCATTCATTACGTGGTAGTGTAACCAACTTTCTTTTATTATACAATTGTATTACACATTCATATTACCAATTTCTTTCTTTCATTATGCGGTCATATTATCAACTTCTTTCTTTTGTTACGTAATCATATCACCAACTTCTTTCTTTTGTTATGTGATTGTGTTACCAACTTCTTTCTTTCATTATGTGATCATATTATCAATTTCTTTCTTTTGTTATGCAGTCGTATTATCAACTTCTTTTTTTGTTACATGATCATATCATCTTTGTTACATAATCATATTACTAACTTCTTTCTTTCCCTATGCAATCGTATTATCAACTTTTTTCTTTCATTACACGGTCATCGACTATATCTTTAATGGTACTAGAAAACTTTAACAATAAGAATTCATGCAAATTCAATATCAATCTGTGGTCTCTTAATCAAAATTTCCTGCATAAAATTTCATCCAATCAAAATTTTCAGGTTGACCTGAACCGGTCGGATTATATCAGTTTGGGTCCAAGTACAACTTGACCTGGACCCGAACCTGACCCAGTTTTTTCGGATTAAAAAATCGTGACCTGAACCAGGATTTTTGGATCAGATCCAGGTCGGGTTTCAGATTGACCTGAACTGATTGGAGCATTACTCAAAATAACCTGCATGATGTTTCTTCTTCAAGACCCTTTCACAAATTTTTTTATCAAATTTTATCTATATTATAAGTATCATTTGTTATGACTTGCCAATTTTTCATCCACTAAACTTTTTCCTTATAGTCACCAGGATGTCTTCAGTGATGCAATAATCAGACGTATCAGAATCAGACTACGAAGGTTATGTTATTCATCCTTCCCTGAAAAGTGTGCTTTTCGGTTTTGAAAAAAGCTTGCATTATCATATGTGAGTAGCCTTGATCTTCATTTGTGAAAATTCTATTGATAGTTACTTATGCATTTGTACTTTTTGCTCAAAAGGAGAGATAATCCTGTCTTCAGTTAAATCATGCCATGAGAGACGCAAGTGTATCACATCATTTGAACAAAAAGCTGATGGAGTCTTTCTCGTACGGTTAAAGAAATCTACTGTCGAGGTTGAACATTTAGAAATGAGCAGTGGGTACAGACATAAAGATCTTTCTAGATCAACATGGGATGGTTGCTGCAAGTTGCCAATTGGAAATACTTATATGCTGGAAGAGATCGGAGAGCGATTTCAAGGAGCTCGTGTGAAACATTCTCAAGAATAAGTACCTTTTCTCTGCACACTTATGTTAGGTGTTTAACAGAGTGTTTCTTAAAGATTGCTTCTGTAATTTGTTACTCTAAACTTTATTATCTTGTGGGATCTCAGGGTAATGTATCTTCTTTTGACTAATGTTTGTTCTGCTATGCTTTGTCATCAACTTATCTTCTCAATCCATAGTGTTGGTTGCTGGAAGTTGCTGAAGTCATTTATAAACTACAAGAAGAACATAATGATTCAGATATGAATGTGTCCAATCTTTCTGGTATTCTCCCATCACACATTTCCTCCGCCACAAAAAGGTATCACAGGTACTTGTGCAGATAGCGATCCAGGTAGCTCTCCCATTTGATCTAATATATAAAGGTTTTTAATTTGCGTTCTATTTGTTATATATGATGACATTATATTATAGTTAATAATCGGCATAAATTATAATAGTAGAAAAGTGGTGAGCATATTTTTATGTAATTGCTCATCAGTTTTCTGCGTGATTCATTCTCAGGACACATAAGTTGGTAATAAGCATTTGAATCATAGTGCTAAGTCATAACTATTTTTCGTAAAAATAATGAAGATACATTTTAATAAAGTTCCGCCCATATCGGGTTTGAATTTTTAATGTGTAAACGTATATGCGGTGCCGTGTGGATGTGTATCAGAAGAAAAAAATGTGATAATATAAATGTGATTGCCGGAGTGTTTGCGTTGTATATTTATTATATTGTGTGAACATATGATTCTTGATAACTAATAACTTTTTCCAGTTGAGTCGGAACTTGATTAATTGCCAGATGATTATTGAACAACTGGCTGTGCGCTATGAGATTTTCTCACATGTAAAGTTTTCTTGGCACGTGATTTTTATTTGAGTGACGATTTTTTACAATATTTTTTTGTTCAAGCCCTAATAATATTCTAACAAAAATGAATCGATATTTTACATATAAGTCATAATTTGCTATAACTCTTAAACTTGATATAGATCGTTAAATATGTATCAAATCACTAAGTTCCAAAAACGTATTAATAGACCTGGTTATGATTTGAAAGAAATTCGATACTTTTATTCTAACTATTGTGGTTATCATGGTGATAAATTTGAGCGATTTTTTGAAAAACTGATATTTAAGTATTAAGCCAGATGAAACTCTCAAGCAGTGGGCTATTCATGTTCGAATTCCTCTCCAAAAGTTGATCCATGAGGGAAAAAGAGCATGTATCATGTACATTGTCTATATGCATCTTATCCTGAAGGTAAATTTGATATTACAGCCTAAGCCATTTAAGAACGGAACTGCGATCTGTTTTGATTGTTGAAAATTAATTCGAGTTGATGTGAATGCTAAACCAAAAAGTATTCCATTATACTAAACGCAGATATGTGAAAATTCTTGAACCAATAGATATGATGAAATGTCATTATAATCATCAATATTCTAGACCTAAAACTCGTAATGGTAGTGCGCGTCTTATACAAAATGACTAGCAGAATTTTAAAGCGAGACCTGTATCATTGGCATCTCAAGTTTGGAATGTAATAAGAAAGGATAACTGATGAAAAAAATTTCTAGGTATGTCGAATTCTGATTATATGTATGTTAAATATATGGAAGTTTTTATTCGATTTGGATATTCGGATAAATATTTTCCACCAGATAGATATTATGATTCTAGAAGATGGTCATTCCATAAGAAATGCCAATTATCAGATAGATTACGTGTACTATATTATCAATAAAAAAGTATATTATTATGAAATAACGATCCATTTTTTTTCGTGTGGAAAATAAATATATAAGAATTATTGCACCACGTAACTAAATTTTCTGACTAGTGAAAGTAAGTGTACTAGCTCCACTAATACGATTGTTCCAATATTCACATGAAGGATTAAGGTAATATACCCATATTTTTTGTTCCCTGAATCTCTATAATCCGTGCAATGTATTGTCTGAACATACATATACCGATACTGTCTCACACCAAAGCTTTTTGGAAATTATTTATTAACACGACAAGATAAAAAAAAGGAGAAAGTAAACAGCACCCCGTATCTCCGCTAGTGCTACAACAGGGTCGGATTGGGGTCAAACCCGACCCGAAATAATTCGGGTCAGCCTAAAAATCGTTATTTTTCGTTCAATATTAATTGGAATTAAACGAAAATTGTGGGCATATACACAATTACATTCCGAACAACTCTACTTAGACACCAAATATAAGTGTCTTAGTAAAAATAAAAGTTATTAACGGAAAACTATTTTACGATTTTCGATCCGAATCCGACCCGAAATTATCGATTCGGGTTGACCTCAAATCCGATCCGACCCGACTCGAACAGAGCTTTAATCTCCGCTCTGCTTTATAATTTACGCTTATTAAAAAAATACTGTGATCACTTACTTTTATTTATTTCGCAAAAACATTTACTGTCGCTATCTTTCTTGAGCAGGACTCGACTCTAGGATTTTTAAAATAACGGCTTGTTGAATAGTACCACTTTTGAATCCTCACCCATTATTAATACATCACAAACATTTTTTATTTCAAGTCTCGGCAGTATCAACTAGAACCGGAGGTTTTCTTTTCGAAAAGCAATGCAAACACCTATCATAAAATGGAAATATGAAAATGAATTTTCTGATCGATAAGGTTTTCATTAGATAAGTGGTTTAGACGTAATAATGCTCTAGTTTTACAAGTCTAATATGATATTTGTTTTTATAGTTAGCTTTTGTAGATATAACATATTTGATATTTGTATGTGTATGTAGATTATTGTTGTGATAATTGTTTTGTAAGAATATGATTTATTCACGTTAAATTATGCTTGAATTCACC